TTACAAAAAAAAGATTTATTTAACTATTTCTCTGTTAGCATTTTTACAGATTTATTTAAGGCTTCTCACCTATGTTCCCAAAAAATAACCCCTGGTACATGCAGTCTAGGGTCCAGAAAGTACCTGTTTCCTAAATCTCCTCAAAGGGGTTACATAATAAATTGGTCTCATGACAGAATTTTCCTGGGCTAGCTCCTTCTCCACATGGAAATCCTCCAGGAAATGTGAACTTCTGCATTTATAAGTAAGAGCTTTCAAGTCTGTGAGTAAGAAAGGAAAATATATTCCCCATTTTGTGAGCAAGCATAAGAACATGGAAGTTCAATTGTTTTAACCAGAATAATTAAAATATACTGTCATCTTCCACAAGTTGATTGTTCAAGAGTGACCAAGATTTACTACATATTATTTCTTCCAGATTTCAATCATTTACCACAATGATAAGAAAATGATTTTGGTAGTTAACAGACGACATGTCAAGAGCATGGACAATGAAAAGATGAAAATACCTTTCACAGACATATACATTGGAGGGGCTCCCCCAGAAATCTTACAATCCAGGTAAGTTTTCTTTGTTAAGTAGTTATTTGTTCCTAACAACGTATTGGGCTAAGTATGCAACACCCCCCAGAATAGATCTAGTAAAGGTTTAAGTCCCCCCAACACTTGCTACTTCTACACGTGCACAGGCACACGCTCACATGTTTATGTACCTTTGGACCCCCTGCAGCCAGTTCTCATGACCCCCTTCATTTAATATCTACTAGATGAGACCTACAGGTTTCTTTAATTATGTCCTGATACTCTTGTTTTAGTCTTATTTGAATTCTCAAATAGCATCTGAGGGTAAAAATTTTAAGCTTGCCCTAGCTGGTTTGGCTCAGTGGATAGAGCATTGGGCTGCAGACTAAAGGGTCCCGGGTTCAATTCCAGTCAAGAGCACATGCCTGGGTTGCAGGCTCGACCCCCAGTAGGGGGTGTGCAGGAGGCAGTTGATCAATGATTCTCTCTCTCATTGATGTTTCTATCTCTCTTCCTCTCCCTTCCTCTCTGAAATCAATTAAAAAAATTTTAAGCTTATCTAAGGGTTTGTAAATTATGTATAATAAAGCTATTCTAATATATTTTAAAAGTCACTGTCTCTTATTATGATCAATTCATAGCATCAGAGACCTTTAAGACTGAGAGACATATTTTAGTCCAGTGGTTCTCAACCCTAGTTCTCATTCGAATAACCTGGAGAGCTTTTATAAACACCATTGTCCATGACCACTCTCCAGAAATTCTGAATGCTCTGAGGTAAGGCCACAATATAATATTAAAAACAAAACAAAACCCTTCCTTCAAACTTCTCTTTGAATAAATCTATAGTTACCTCTGATTTTTTTTTAAAAAATCAATTTTAATGACTTCAATTTTTAAAAGCTTTTCCTTATTTTGAATCACAACTAGCGCCATTCCCCTTCCATATCACCATGCTTCATATTTTTCAAAGGCTCCCCAAGCTTCCTTTTCTAAATAAGTAGCCTCTTCAGTCCTCCAGCCATGCCACATTGGACCTTTAACCACCATGGCTATCACTATGTCCGCTATGTGCACCTCAATCTGTCCATCAGTACGGCCTTCCCAGTGTGGTCTTGTCGGAGCACAATACAGAGAACTATTACCCCTTAGTTTGTCTAGTGTTCATCTAAAATACACTGAAGGCAAAACTAACTTCATATCCATTCAATATCTGATAACATGTTGTGGGGCACTCCCATGGTATAGGTAGTTAGGACCACAGCACTGAGAAAAATGCCAGCCCTGATGTTAAAGATAAAGGATTTCTTACTCTGCTAATGATCCCAAGGCCTAACATTGACACTAGCCTTAGTTGATTACAGTGTGTTGCAAATAAAGCCAAGAAGATAAGTTTATGACCCATGTGGATTACTGGAAGGCTGAAGACTGGGTTTTCTTCCTAACTTAACCGGTTATGACATAAGAAATGAATGTGTCTTAGTTTACTTTTATAGCTTACATGTGAAATTGCCAAGAATTGACCTTTTTTTCAGATATATTTTTATTGATTTCAGAGAAGAAGGGAGAGGGAGAAAGAGATAGAAACATCAATAATGAGAGAGAATCATTGATCAGCTGCCTCCTGCACGCCCCCTACTGGGGATCAAGCCCACAACCCAGGTATGTGCCCTGAAGGAGAATCAAACTGCGACCTCCTGGTTCATAAGTCAACACTCAACCACTAAGCCACACCGGCTGGGCAAGAATTGACCATTTTTTACCTTTAAATGTTAGTTATAAATGATTTTAAATACTATTAAATTGCATTACCTATATATGTAGGGTGGCATCATCATCAGGGCTATATTAGTGAAAACTAATTTTCTTCCCCAGGACTCTAAGAGCACACCTCCCCCTAGATATCAACTTCAGGGGATGCATGAAGGGTTTCCAGTTCCAAAAGAAAGACTTCAATTTATTAGAACAGACAGAAACCCTGGGAGTTGGTTACGGATGCCCAGAAGACTCTCTTGTAAGTACCAATCAATCAAAAGCTTTTTAATAATAATAAACAAAAACAGCACTTATCACTCTCAAAAGCTGTAAAACTCTTTTCAGCTTCCTTGTAATTCTAGGAATCATTAAGCCAGGAAGGTTTATTGGGTGCCTCTATGACTTGTCCAGTTGGCTCAGTTTTCTATCAGTGTGGCTTCCAATGCCCAGAGAGGCTGTGAGAGCACTGTTACTACTCAGGGTAGAAGGAGGGAAGATGTTGAAACCCCACCTGTTAGAGGCCCACAGAGGGAAGGTTAATATGCCTGAATTCCAGTATAAACCAGAAGGTTGTGTGTGTGTGTGTGTGTTTTAAACACTATTCATATAGAAACTAGACCTTTGGTGTGTGAGAAATTCACTTAAGCTTTGATAATTATTACAAACACTAAATTTACTGTTTGGGCCCACAGATATCTCGCCGAGCATATTTCAATGGACAGAGCTTCATTGCTTCAACCCAGAAAATATCTTTCTTTGATGGCTTTGAAGGAGGCTTTAATTTCCAAACATTACAGCCAAATGGATTACTATTCTATTATGCTTCAGGGGTATGTATTTAGTTTTTTCCTGAGGAAATTTCTTTGTGATAATTGTTTTGTCTATTAGAAATACTATTAAGCATGTTAACAGTGATTTTCAATTTTGACTTACATGTACTCACATAGAATTCCCCATTTCAGACACTTTATAAAATACTAGAAGCCCACTGCATGAAATTCATGCACAGATACAGTCCCTAGACCTGGCCTGCGATCAGGGCCATCTTCCCTGGCTACCACAGCCAGCCCCACCCCCCACAATCACCCACCCCCAGTTCCCCGTTCGCCATCGGGCAATCGGAGTCTGATGGTCAAGGGAAGGAACTGAGAGGTGGTCAGTGCACCTCATAGGAACTGGTCGAGCAGTCATCCTGGTCTTTCTACCACTCGGTCGATTTGCATATTACTCTTTTATATATAGATTATATATATTGTACATCAGGGGTTCTTAATCTGGGATTCATAGACTCACTCCTCAAGGGTTAATGAGAAGAATTTAGGAAGTCTGTAGATTTGGGAGGGGGAAAATTACATCTTTATTTATCTAACTAGAATTTAGCATTTTCTCCCATTGTAAATGTGGGCAACAAATCACAATAGTATTAGCAGTACCTGTAACTTTTTCATTAATAGAAATGACAAGTATTTTTCATTTCATGATTAAGCTGTCACAGATATCTCAAAATATTAATATTGCTCATTGCTACTTCTAAATTACAGTAGTTATTAGATCTGCTACTAAATTCTATTATTTAATGCCTTAATAAAGAAGTACATATATTACTATATCAGATTTATTGTTTTAATATTTTGAAACTGTGTTTCAATGTAATTGGTTTTCCTTTGTGTTCCTATACATTTTGTTGTATGCATATTAAAACATTATTTTATGAATGGGTCCATATGTATCACCAAATTGCCAAAGGAGTCCACAGCACAAAAAATGTTAAGAACCACTGTATGTTAAGAATAAACATATGTGTGATTCAACTTATAAAATAGTAAAAAGAACATACTTTTCTCTTCATGCATTTGCTGCAGAACACTTGAGCTCAGCTTAAAGACATCTTATTTGAAGAATAAAAAAGCCTGGCTGGTGTGGCTCAGTGGTTGAGCATTGACCCATGAACCAGAAAGTCATGGTTAGATTCCTGGTCAGGGTACATGTCCAGGTTTGGGGCCCGATCCCCAGTAGGGGGCATGCAGGAGGCAGCAGATAGTTGTTGATGTTTCTCTCTCTCATCAATGTTTCTATCTCTCCATTACTCTTCCTTCCTCTCTCTAAAATCAATAAAAATATATATTTAAAAAGAAGAATCAAATAAGATCTGTACAGGTTTAATGATGCTAAGATTCAACCGATTTATCTCTGAAAAGGACCAAGAGCTACATTGATGGACCAGGCCATAATAGCAGCTTTCACTTTTCATACTTATTACTTTGTATCTATCACATTTATATTGAATTGAATTTAAACCAGTAGCATCTGTGAGAATTTACCCAAAGCGCTTTGTAGAACCTCTGTTACATAACCTGCCTCAGATTACCATGGTTAATTAAATAGCACTGTCGTCCCCCAAAAAGTAGTATGTGCTGGGCTAACTGTAGAGTTTGGTGCCCATATAAGGGAAGAGAAGCAAGATTATCATTTTGCCAATATTATAAGACAAATGATAAGCAAATTCAGAAAAAGAGATGTTAACCTGCTTTTATTTAAAATTTATCTTCTGCATCTATAGACGAAAAGTGAAATATTTAAGAGGCCAAACTAGCAAATTAACTTTTGTCTGGTAATCTAGCCACATTCCCAAAGGGATTCAAATATTGCCCTTTCAAAAGGGATTAAAGGGAGACATGATGGAGTAGGCAACTCTCAACATGACAAAATCACCAGAGGTTTTAGTTCTAAATGTATATAGGAGATTTATTTTTCCATTGAAACATGTCTAATTTTATAGGCAACACCAATACAAGCAATCAAGTATTTTGTTTTTATTGTTATTCATAGAAAGTATTTTACAAGCAAACTTCCTTCATACTGGATGTTCCTTCAAGCAATAACATTAAGTTAATGTTAAAAACATGTTCTTTTGGATACCTGGCTCCCTACTTAAAAACCTGTGCTTGCATTTCAGTCAGACATGTTCTCCATTTCGTTGGATAATGGCACTGTGACCATGAACGTAAAGGGAATCAAGGTGCAATCGGCAGATAAGCAGTACAATGACGGGCTGTCACACTTCATCATTACCTCTGTCTCACCTGCAAGGTACGGTCCTCGAGATTTATTCTTTCCATGTGATGGCCTTATTTGTCAGGCATGATTCTGCCAAATGACCACTATGAATAATTGGCTATTCTATTACTTTTCTAGTGTTTAGAAAAATGATGGAAGGAGCTACTTGCCTCCTTAAAAAAATTGCTCTTAATTTTCAAGACATGCAAAATAAGTCACTATGAAATTACTTAACAAAAATATAACACACACACACACACACACACACACACACACACAGTAAAAATAGGCCGAGTACATGGAAGCATGGAACAGACTGACAGATCTCAGAAGGAAGATAGGGTGGGTGGGAAGAGATTAACCAAAGAATTTATATAAAGACATGCATAGCCCCTGGACACAGACAATAGTGCAGTAAATGCCTGGGGTAGGGTGGGAGCTGCGTGGAGGTAGGCAAAGGAGGAAAATGGGAGACATCTGTAATGCTCTCAACAAAAATAAAACAAACAAACAAACAAAAACCGTAGACTATAATCTCCTTGAGGAAAGTGCCTGATTCAGTGGAGGGCAGTGTTCTTCATAAAGGAGCTCAGCAAATGTTGGTTTCATTTAGTTGTACATCTGGCGGTTGAGAATGGAATACTTATGGCCCCATTTTAAAATCTCTAATTTTATCTTTAAAATATGTGATACTGAATTTCTTTTCCATAATAAGAAGCTTTCTGGGATAAGACATGAACCTCTGTTGTAGACTACTCCTATTCTATGTCCACTTCTGTGGAGCCCTCCATCAAAGGAAAACATTAATAGGTCGTTTCAGGACTCCATGTCCAATCAGGACCAAAACCATTCAATGGGCTTTACAATGAAAATAATCTCCCACAAGCATGTGTAAATGATCACCAGGAGGGAGGTAGATCCTGATTTTTTTTTCCACCAAAAAGAAAAGCAAACAACAACAAAACAATGCTGATGACTAGTCATCTTAACTTCTTCTTTTATGCGTTTAAATTCTAATCCTGGTTTGGAGGGCCTTTTCTGTGTATGGAAACATTCAGTCGTTTCATCCTAGGCCTCAGAAAGAGTCTAGAAAGCTATTGTCCTTTTATTAACCGCATGTCCCATTGCAATTCCCTGAGAACACCTGCAACCCAGAGTGGCACTCAAGGTAGAATGCTAGCTGTGTGGCTGTAAAGATGCTTTTTCTCTTGCAGATATGAACTGATAGTAGATAAAAGCAGACTTGGGAGTAAGAATCCTACCAAAGGGAAAGCGGAACACACACAAATAGATGAAAAGAAGTTTTACTTCGGTGGCTCGCCCATCAGTCCCCAGTATGCTAATTTTACCGGCTGTATAAGTAATGCCTACTTTACCAGGTATAATATTTTTATTTTTTATAAACCCACATGGTTAATAAAGAAGATCAAGTCAATAATGAAAATATTTGCATTATTCAAACAGAACTATGAAATTTATCAGAGGCATTAGGGCAGTCATTAGAAGCTTGTATAGGCTTGAGCAACTGACATACTTAGGTTTGTAATTAGCTTTTCTAGCCCTTTAATTTCTATTTGACTTTGGCAAAGTAAGCCTTTTTTTATTCACCTGCAAATTCTGATAATAGTGCCTGCCTGGGATGCTTGTTATGAGGATTAAATGAGATAATGGGCATAAAGCACCTGGCATACAGCAAGCTGTAAATATTAGATGCGATTATTTCTGTACATCTTATTAATGATAGAGTACAGAGCAACATACCCAAATTCTTGTTACAGGTTTAAGAAAGTGTTCTTAATTTACTGCCTGACTTTAAACAAAGCCATTAATCTAGGTCCTTAACAAAGACAGTGAGGGCTCCCTGAGTACAAGAACTAGCAAGGGAGGAATTTAACACAGATTGAGTAATACAGAGGCGGCCGCAGCCATCCGGAGTGTGGTGAGGGAAACGACGTTCATCTGTCAGAATGTGTTGGTACCAGGCATGAAGTTATTAATTAATTGGTTAAATGATCATTTTAAATATTCTGATTAAAATAGTGGCTGATGGATAAAGATCATCACACACACAAGAATTGTTTTAATTGCTCATTTCTCTGACTTCCGTAGTTTTCATTATGTAATTCTGAACTACATTTTTAAGGTTTTTCTCCCCTTTGTTACAAACACAGGTTGGACAGAGATGTGGAGGTCGAAGATTTCCAGCGGTACTCTGAAAAGGTCCACACTTCCCTTTACGAGTGTCCCATTGAAAATTCGCCATTGTTGCTCCTTCACAAAAAAGGAAAAAATTCCTCAAAGCCTAAAACAAGTCAGAATAGAAAGGTAAAAGTTGATGCTGTGCCAAGTGCCCGAATGTCCTAGTGTTCCACGCATGCAACTCCAGACACTGATGTTGTGTAGAATTTACTCTAATTTGCAACTATACAAAGATAAGGTTCTTGTAGTAGCAGATATTCCAACTCACTGGCTTTGTAGCATCAATTCTTGTTCCTCAAGAAACAGTTTGAATCAGCTTTTACTCATACTTCCAACTACTTTTCACTAGCATGGTTAAAATTGCTCCATGCTTAACAATTGATATGTATATATCATATTATTAGTACTATTTATTTGCTTTTGTGTAACAATGGTAGGCTTTTGTCACAATCACGGAAATTGTTAAAGTTTCTGACCTACCCTTGTTTCCCCCTCGTTCCTTCACCTTCACTTCAACCACTCACATGTATAATTGATCTGTGGCATCAACCAGAGCTGCTCCATCATCGAACCCTGAGTTCTTCCATTGCATCCTCTGGCTACCCTTCTTTCTCATTCTTTTAGTCAAACCTTTCCCACCCACTGCCCACACCTTCCTGGTCCGATTTTAACAATAAGCTCAGGTTCCAATGTTCCCACCTGGTCCAAGCCACCGTCACCTCACATCTGTATTGTGGCAATAGCCTCTTACCAGGCCGCCCTGCTTCTGTATGGTTTCCCAAGAGTTTCTTCTCAACACAAGGGCCAGATCCTTATAAATACAGCATATCCCCAAAACATGTGTACACACTTTCACAGCTGATAGCTCAATTGATGTTTCTTTCTTTTCAGCCAGATTAAGCTTTGAACAATTGAAATTCGTCCTAAAATGCTACTGGGAATTTGAAAACACAGTTGTAGTACAAGCACTGCCTTTATAATTATTCAAAGTGTGTATACACTTTTTGGGATACCCTGTATTTACAAGGTGATAACTCACTGAATTTTCACTCCTTTTCAGGTTTAACTGATTTGAAATAATGGGTGAAGCCAGACTAAGCTTTGAACAAAGAAAACTAATCCACTAGACTTTTTTATGGGGATACATAAATGATAAAATTTACTGCACAAAACCAGCAACAGTTGACGGATTGAGGGTGCACAAATACCAAACAAAATGATTCTTAATGTTTGCGATTCCATTGCTTTGAGTTATCAGCAGTGCCTGGACCAGAACAGTCATCCATTTGAAAGTAGGCGTTGACAAAAGTATTCATTTCTGCGGATTCTTTTAAAGTCTGAAAATGAACTGTATGTTAATAAACACTGACTTTTATAATCATTCAAAGTGTGTATACATTTTTTGGAACCTTATATAAGGCATAGTATGTCACTCCTCTGCTCAAAGTGGACCCCAGCTGTACTCAGAACAAAAGCCCACGTTCCTACATCGTCATGAGAGGCCTTATATTACTACCCAGGCCCCTTTTCCTCACCAGCTCTTCTCCCCACACTGATCTCCTGGCTATTCCTAGAATGGACTATGGACACTCCAGCCGTATGGTCTTTACTTCAGCTTTCCTTCTGCCTAGAGCACTCTTTCCCCAGTGTCTGCACAGATAGCTCCTCCTCCTCTTTCTAGGGTTACTCAACTCTCCTGTGCTCAATGAGGCTTACTTTACACCACAGTCTTCCTCCTGCCTCCACAGTACTACTGGCTTCCTTTTTCTCGTTCTTTTTCCCATAGCATTTGCCACATTTTAATTGATTATATACTTTATTTATTATGGGTTTTTTTGTTTGTTTGCTTGCTTGTTTTTAGGAGAGCTGGCTGATACCTTTATTGCTTGAGGGGGAGGGTGCTCAGGAGCTCTTGGTGGGGCGGGCCCGCTTCCTCTTCACCATCACAGGCTTCTGGCTGCGCAGATCCTGGCGGTACCTATTCTTGCGGATCATGTGCTGGAGGCTGCTCAGGGTGGCCCGCGTGTTCTTGTTGAAGGTGGTCTGCAGGTAGGAGGTGGCCGGCTTTCGCTGGCCGGATCTCCGCTTCATGATGACCACCACACCTTTGCCGTGGACGCCAGCTCCACGCCCACCATCTTGCGGTGAACGAGCCCTTTGTAGCGAAAGGAGTTGCGGGCCTTCAGGTTATTGGGTTCGGTGCTGAACGCCTGCTGGTTCCTCTTGATCAGAAGCCCGAGCAGTTCCTCACAATCATCCATGGCAGATGCTGCAGACCTGGCGGCAGCTCCTTTATTGTCTGTCTCCTCAGCTAGAATACAAGTCCCTTTGTTTTGTTCATTGATTTATCCTAAGAGCCTAGAGCAATGCACATAATAGGTGTTCAATAAATATTTAGCAATCTGCATCATAGAGTTGCTATAAGGATTAAATGAGTTGATGCATGAAATGCTCTTAACACAGTGCCTGGCATGGAGTAAACATTCGGTAACCCTGAGCTGTTATATTTCTATAAAGTCTCAGGAGTGTTCCTAAAAGTGGAATTGCTTAGATTAAGGGAATGTGCATTTGCAATACTGACTTAGAGTCTCACAAATGACATCTGAAAAAAACCTATTGTTCCACACAATTGCTAACACTGGATATGGTCACATTTTTATAATTTAGTCAATTTAATGGGCAAAGTTGGCATCTGATTGTGGTTTACATGTTCTTGAATGCCAGTGAGGTTGAGCATCTTTGCAGGGGAAGAAGTGATTTCTTTCCAAGGCTGGCTTTTGAACCATCAGCAGAGGGAAGCACCACCCCCCCACCCCCAGCTTCTCACTTCGGATGGTTTTTCACTGCCCATTATAGCTTGGTTTTTCACTGACCATATAGTTCAGCTTACAATAGAACACTTTTTAGAATCCCCATGAAACTTCCCTTTGTTCATACATGATTTCTTAATCAATGTTAATAATTTTGTTCATGTACTAGTATAATCAAATCTTAGAAGTTTTTTGGGATCCTTATCTGAATTTCACATGGAAGACTTTATAAAGTGATTCAGGCAGAGAAATAATTTCATTTATTTTTATGAAGGATTTTGCTAGAGGATACTTTGAAGGATTTTTTCAGAGGAGATTATTAAATTCTGATGAAATCTTACTGTCACCTTTATATACTGATACTAAAAGATTTATCCTGAGAATTTTTTAGCGGGGACTTGAACATTGTCAGGTGATTGTAGACAGCAGGTTAATGTCATAGGCTGATGAGGAAGATCAACCTTCTAAAGCAAACACAGTTTATCCCTTTAAATGAATACAGTTTTCTGGATGAATCTGTCTATCAAATGTAATTTCCTAAACAAACATTCATCATCTCAAGGTTACAATCAATAGTTGCTATTGGAACTATTAACACAAACTTTTCAATATTATAATAGCCTCTTAGTCTTTATGGTAAAAAGTCTTAGAAACTCAATTTTGTAATAAGACACAAAATCACTATAGATTTCACTTATATTTTTTAATAATTAGAAGGTCAGTGTTTGCTAATCTTCCCTTGTATTTGCCCTTTTATCAAAAGCTCCTTAAATAGCTACCAAGAAAAACTTGTGGCCTCAGGTTTAAGTTTTCATCAAGGCTGAATCATAGCAATTAGGCCTCATAATAATTTATTTTCACAATAACTTACTAATATTCCATTTTATGCATTTATTATAATTAATTTAACCACGAATAGACTCTCAGTTGTTTCCAGTTTCTTCTCTTTTATAGATGAAGATCATAGTACATTAATCTTTAATCATATTACTAAATAACTTGTTAGGATATATTCCTAGAGGCAGAATTATTGGATCAAAACAAATTACTTTCCAGAAAGGTAAAAGTTATTTTATATTTCCTCATGAGTATATAAGAGTACTTATCTTACCACTATGTTCCAGCCTGAAATTTTTTTGTGATATTTATGTTTTCAAATTTAATTGGGAAAGTATCTCCTCATTTGGTGTTTAATGTGATAATAAACATTCTCTACATTGTAGTAGACAGTCTAGATATCTGGCCAACTACTCCCTTCTCTGAAAACTGATTCCCTCCCTACTGGGGGCCCCAGTATTTCAGGTTTGTGACTTCATCTACCTTGATATAGGTGCTTGGACCAGGGTACATCATGTCAACTCAGCTGAGCCATCATGTTCTCTTCTTGGAAACTCAGAACCCAAAGAGACGCCTCTGGGCTGGTCATTGACTAGAAAACATGCAAACCTAAGAGCTCTGTGTTAATCATGCTCAGATAAAGAAGAGAAAAAGGCAGAAAGCTGCCCTGCAGAGAAAGAAGAATGATAACAGACACTCTGAGAAAAACAAAGCTGAGATTCCAGAAACATCCAGAAAAGGAGTGTCTTGATTCTTCCTAGCTTTCTAATTCCTGATTCTTGCCCCTGGTAGGACCCACTCTACTATCTTCCCTTGGATTGTGTTCTTAAGATACTACCATAGCTTTATAACACATTGCCCTCTTTTTCTTAAGTACCTTAACTAGTTAGGCTATTGTCTGAAACAAAATAATCTTGCTAAATTGAAATTGGTGCCACCAATTGGATTGCAACTAATAGACCCTCAGAAAAATAAATTACATTGATAAAGTTGGAGTCTAATGGGGTTCAGGGAGAATCCCCACACACATAGCCATTTTAAATAATAAGCTGAGTATTTATGGTAATGAAGTAATTGATTAAATTATAACTTCTCTTTTTATTACAATTAATATTCAGAGCATATATCCACAGAGGGTTTATGGTATTTAGTTGCCATATATAAAGATATCAGAGTTCACTAATTTTCCCAGCAGACAAGAAACAGATCCTAGTCCATATATTCCCACATTGAAGCAGAGAAAGGCAGGGCTGGTGAATTGAAACTGTCATGGTCCAGTAACCTCCTGCTTTGCTGAGCCCCTGTGATCTAAGTCACTGTCGCTCCTCCCATAGTTAAGTGGATGCACTGACTGAGAAAAAGTGAGATCATCTCCGTAGAAATGGAGAGAATCAGGAATACCCGGAATTGGAGAAAACTCCCAGTCCCCCACCAACCTCTCACCCCCACCTTCGATGAGGCATTTCCTATGCCCTTCGATGAGGCAAACGTGATCATATCTCCCATTATAAGGCATGCTGCTCCACTGAGGTTGGAATACAGCATGGAGTTTGGGGAAGTTTCCGAAGATATGTTAGAGGGGAAGCTTCCAGGAAGCCCCACTCCATCCCATTCTGCCCGCTCATGACTGGGATGGTGAGGGCCTGGGCCAGAAGAACATTGGTAACTGCACATATTTCCTCCCCCAAGAGAAAAACCTGCTTCTGTACCCGAGAACCAGGTTCTGAGTCCTGACTCCTATGTGAGGAAGGGAAGAGGGGACAGTGGAACCAGGTGGGTTTTTCTTAGGAGGTTGAGTCTCCAAGCACCACCCCACTTTCTCTAATCTAACTACCACCCTTAGATTCTCCAGGGCCAGAACCAGACTGAGATATCAAACCATTAATCTTATGCTATCTCCTGGAAATATCTCCTGGAAATTTTTACACTGCTTTGTTCTTAGAAACCCTCCTAGATTTCAGGACTATGATGGATATATTTTAATGTGTATAGTTCTTTTGATATTTCAATGGGAATTAGGGAGGGGTGAAAACTAAAGGTGTGAGTTCATTCAATAATCTGGAACCAGGATTTTTCCTCCTATCTAATCCTGGATCTCATCCTGATTTGCTGTGTTCTCCAGTTCTCTCTACTACAAACATTTCCTCTCCTCTCTTCCCTTCCTTTGTTGCAAGCTTTCTTCCTAAGTGGGTCAAATCACACCACTCCCCACTTTTCAAACCTATGGGGCTCCTCACCACCTAAAAAATAAAACCCCAAGCTCCAGCAACTCATCTAAGGTTCTTTCTATCTGGTAACAACCTGTCTTCCAATTTGCTATTTATATATCCATTCTTCAAATAGATTTTCAGTTTCTTAAAATCCAGGCACCATTTCTCACTCACTTTTCTATTCCCCACCACACACCACTGCCCATGGAAGGCTTACGGAAACATTGATTTCTTTCTCCTTCACTTCTATTAGGTAATCAATAAACACTTGCTTGAATAAATGAATCAATGCCTGAATGATCAAATTTATTTGCATTTACTTTTGCTTCAAAAAGTAAGACTAAATAACCATAATTTCACAACTTTAAATTTTAAAATCAGCAGGGCAATTTTAAAGCACAGGTAATTTTTTAAATTGTTCTATCTCCTGTCCCATAAACGTTTACTACATAGCTTATTACCAAAAAATATTTTGAAGCTGTTGCTAGGTATTTTAACATTTTGCAAAG